AGAAGAGGGTCCAAGGTGGGAGGTTGGATGCTAAGGAAGCTTGATCTAGAAGAGCAGGAGATAAGTCAGCCATGGAGGAGGGAAATGAAGGAGGGAAATAAAGGAAGGAAAAAATGCAGCAGCAAGTGTGCCAGGTGGACCTGGGAAGCAAGAGGGAGCGCCTGACAGCCTCTAGGGGCAACATGAGTGTGTGCATAGGAGAGAGGGGACAGGGTGATTGCCGGAAGAAACATCCCTTTAAACGTGACACATTTGTCTCTAGCAACTGAATCCACACCACAGCACAGAAGATCACCAGGGCAGTTGCCACTAACTACAAAGCCAGTCTCCTCCCCACACCCTAGCTGCCTTCTTTTGCTTCCTCAGAACCCACTAATGGGGGTTGGTGCCCTCAGTTGAGAGACATCCCTGATAAGTCTTCCTAGAAAAAGACACTGGGAAGTGGAGTAGTGCTGAACTAGAATGGAATCTTAGGCTAGGGCAATATTAGAAATTTGGGGAAGCCTATATATGGGAAGGGCACTGTCCAATCACAATGGACATCCACTAGAACTGGAAGTGTTGAGAATCCCCTGCTGGGTCAGACTTTAATCCTTTGGTTTGGTTTGGAGGGAATGAAGAAGTACCAGGACATTCAAGGGCACTCCAGAGGGATGGGAGAGGTAGCTGCTTGTCTATCATCAAGGTTGAAATGCATGATTTGAGCAAGTGAAATGGTATTTCAGGTGTTCCCTGGGGGAAACATCAGCTTTGATCCTGAGGCAGATGGAACGTGGAGGGCATAAGGGGTTTTTTTGTTTGTTTGTTTGTTTTCAGGCAGATTGATAGCAATAGAAACCTTATAGGTCCTTGTGGTAAGACCTGATGTGGGACAAGTTCTCCCCTCATGCCCATAGCAAAGGGTGAGTCAGACCGACTGCACCATTGAATAGCAGTGCCAGACCCATGTTCATAGAACCGACCAATTGTCTAACTCCCCTGCACACACAAGGCCATCCCCAGTGTCCTGGAATCCAGGCCCAGTCTTGGAGGAACAGCAGTCTGTTTCAAAGAGCTGAGAATCTGAGCTCATTAAAAGGGGAATGAACTCTGGAAATCAATTCACCCAGGGTTCTCTTTTGGCATATGGGGAAACTGAGGCTTAGAAAGAAAGTGTAGAGCAATATTTCTTGTTAGTGCCAGAGCTGGGATGAACAGCAAGCTGTCTCTGCCTCCCAGTCTGGTATATTTTCTATTTCCTTCTTTGCTATTATCCCAAGTCTTCATTATATTTGAGGGAAAAATGCCAGAATATCCTCAGAGCCAGCCTTACACATAGGTAAACATGATGCGATCAAATGTGTCTCCTCAATTGCCTGTCATTGTGGCTGAGATTTCACCATCAGTGGTTCATTCCTTTGCATTTTGATGCCTTCTGCTCATTTTTTTAGGGGGGATATAAATGGGGGATTTATTGACAATCACTAAGAAAAAGAATTTGCAGATTAGATCTAAGATATACAGTTGGGGAAAGGCAACTGGTCCAGGGAAGAAGATACATGGTAGGAAGGATGTGAACTCAGGGCAAGGATCTAAATCCAGTGACGTGGCCTCCTTGGTAGGCAAGGCAGGAATGTTTGATAAACCCACACCCACAGCTTCAGCGAAGCTTGAGCTTGGGAGCTCAGGAAGCATTTCCTGCAGGAAACTGTACTGTGACCCAGGAGGCCCGCATCACTGCTATGTGGCCCACACTGGAAAGAAGGGCGGGAGAGTGAAGGATAACATCAGGCTGTCTGGAGTGGCCACGGGGGCACTTTATTAAGAGGAGCAGTCTGGGAGAGATGGATGTGACAAGGGAATCTATGAAGACATTGAGAGAAGCCGCAGTCACAAGAGGGATGGGCTCTGAAGCTGCCAAGGAAGGCTGAGTGTGGAATGTGTCTGCTCTGTGCCTCCTCTAATGACCTGCTAGCTGCAGGTTCCCTGGCCTAAGGCTGGGGTTCTTACTCTTGGTCCCTCTGGCTTCCATTCTAGTTCTAGTACAGATCTGTGCAGTGAAGCACCAGGTTTGGCTGTGGTTGTCCAAGCCTTCTTGGCTCTTCCATCAGCTCTGACATTCTTATATCAAAGGTGTTTGGGGTGAAATTCTTGCAGGGGGAAGGAAGGAGGCCGGTGGACTTGTTTTTGCCCAGCACAACCCCATGTTTCCTTAGAGTATGTGTTTTCTTGGGACAGCAGAAGTAGAGAGGAATGCCTCTGGAAATACAGGAACTTGTTTTGAAGCTGTCTTTGCATAACAAGCATAATATAGTCAGTCCTCTGGATCCTTGGGCTTCACATTCTCAGTTTCAACTAATGGTGGATTGAAATTATATGAAGAAAATTATGTTTGTGCTGAATATGTACCATCTTTATTTCTTGTCATTATTCCCTAAACAGTAGAATATAGCCAATATTTACATAGCTCTTGCATTGTACTAGGTACTTTTAAGTAATTTAGAGATGATTTAAAATACACAGGAGGATGTGCGTAGGTTATATATAAATACTATGTTATTTTATATGAGGAACATGAACATCCTTGGTGTCCACGGAGAGTCCTGGAACCAATGTCCTATGAACACTGAAGGATTTGTGCCCAAGCCCAGAGTTCAAGCCCCATTAACGATAAAAAAAAAAAAAAAAGGATAACTGTTCTCAAAGATGAGTTGAATGAGTTAAAACCTCTCCAAAGACTTCACTACTTCTATTGTAGATTTAAGCTATTGGAGCAGAACACAGAACCCTCTCCCCAGTTTTCAACAATCCTCTACTGCTCAACATGAACCCCACGCTTCTTGAAAGAGATGTATGGTGACTACCCAAACAATTGTTTGCAATTGTTGGAGTTGGATGGGCTCAGGTGGGAGGAAGAGGTTGTTATTATCAGGAATTAGAGACCTGGAGTTGTCCTGCTGTCCTGCAAGTCCCCAAGAGCCATCTTCCAGCTTAAGGCAAAGTGATCACTAACAAATGTGTCATTGGTACCACTAAGAGAGAAAAATTTCAGAGTAGGGATTCCTGCCGTGAGTACAGGTTCAGTGATTCAGGGAAGATGGAATTAGTGTAATCAATTTGGGAGAGGCAGCCAGGATTTCCTTTAAGCTTTATTTCGTGGAAACCCCCACCTACCTTAGAGACAAACTAATCCCTGGCATGTGTCTAGTGGCTTTATATTTTTCAAGGCTCCTTCACTTCCATAGTCTCCATCCAGCTTCACAAACACCCCCATAAAGTAGGATGGGAGGGTGTTATTATCTCTGTTTGGCCACCAACAAAACCAGGGTCCCAAAAGTATACATGACTCACCCAGAGTCATCAGCTATTTAGTCAAAGAGTGAGGACTTCAAATGTGTTTCTTCTGGCCTTGTGATCTTTCAACCTCCCATGTGGACTCCCCCACAGAATTGTGGAAGTGCCCTGCTCCTAGCATAGTGCCTGGCACAAAGTAGATTCCAATAAGTATTTTCTACATGAATGACTAAATGGAGAAGCAGGGGCAAACAAGGCAAGAAAGAATACAAGTTTTGAAATAGCTCTGTTTTACTATGTTGCCCAGGCTGATCTCAGAATCATGGCCTTAAACAGTTACTTGGCCTCATCCTCTTAAGTAGCTGGGACTGCAACCACACTACCACACTCTGTTCATAGTTGCTTTTAAAACAATCAGAATATTCATGTAATTGTAACCCCTCTGTATGGTATTTTCACTATATATATATATATATATATATATATATATATATGATCAAAATAGGGCAGGCATGCTGTTATTTCATTATTTTGACCAGGAAGGAAGATGGAAGAGATCTTTCACCATTTCACACTTGCCATCACCAAAGGCATGAAGATTAGGGCAGCTCATACAGGAAAGCTGTGGGGCTTTATCTCAGTAGAAGGCTGCCCTCCACTCATTCTGTCCAGAGGCATAGATGTTGTGGGTCATCAGTGCAGTAGCAAAAAGAAGTGAGAATCGATCCGTGGGAAGGTCTTCCCCAGGTTGTTTCTGCAAGCCCCTTCACCACACTCCTCCACTGGCTCCCTGAGCTCTGGCTGAGAACACTCCTTGCCATAGCTTTAGGGCCTTAGCACCTCCCTCTCCTTATAGCATAATTCAGACCTCGGAGGCTCTAAATATATGTTCTGGAAGACCATCCAGACCCCAGACTTCTTTCTTTTCCTTTTTCTGTCTTTTATAAGGACATACATAATAAGTGTCTAATAAGTGTGAGAAGAATGAATGCCTATGGCAAACAGAGGTGGCTGGTCTCTGGGTCTAGGCACTGCAGTCAAGTTTCTGCTACCCAAGGTCTCACTCCCTTCCCCACAGGCAAAATGATCTGGAGTTCCCACTTGTTCCCAGTCCATTCAGAAAAGTAATGACTGGGGAAGCTAGAGACAAATGTTTTTATATGCTACTTTGTACTGACACAATGGCGTTGAAGCAGGCAGCCACACTTTGAGATCCCAAAGATTTCAAATCTTGGACCCTTCATTGCCTTGGTAGCTCCCGTATCAGGGGCTATTCCCTTTGCCTCTGTGAGCCTCTGTTTTGTTTTCTGTACAATGGAACAGATGCTGGAATGAGAAAAATGGACGAAAATTACAATGTCTAGTCCTTACCAAGTGCTCAGCCAGCAGCAGTTGGATTACCAGCACTTCTCTGTCCTCAGCCGGAGGGCTCATTCCAGCAGACACCACCGAATGCCCAAGTGGCCAGATTTCGGACTGGTGAGAGGTAAGCAAAGGGTGTTTACCAGCTGCCTCTCTCGTTTGCAACCTCAGTGGAGGTTCTGGGGCCCAAGCCAGTCGCCTTCTTCTTTAAGATTCTGGTCACAGCAGGGGCTGGGTTTCTAAGGCAGGCGTGATCTTTCTCTTCCTACCAACGCTGCCGCTGCTGCTGCCTCTGCTGCTGCCGACTGCTGTTACAATCAGCGCTGGCCACTGGCAAGGGGCAGCAAGAGGGAGCTGGCGGTAGGGTTCCTGAGCCGGGTAGCCATCCAGCCCCTGGCCCAAGAGGGCAGGACAGTAAGTATTGTGCTCTGAGCAGCAGGCTTGGGACTTGCCTGGGAAAAAGCTAGAAATCAGGGATCTATATGGTTGTCGGCAGCAAGTCCTAGGGTTTTCAGCCCCTCGATGTGACTTGGGGACGGCGCTGGCAGGGGTTCTTTCCTCCTGGGTCTGTGCGCAGTTGGCACCGGCAGCCTGTGAGCATTGTTGGTGCCTTGAGTACTGACAATCCTTCTCCATCCCCCAACCCGGAGGATTGTTCTGGTCACCAGGTAGCCCCTGGGCCGGTTCTGTTGCTGCAGAAGAGGAAATTGCTGGGCGAGGCTGAGATTTGAGGTGCGGATGGAAAAGTGGCCGCTGAGCGGGAAGTTTTCCTACTGGTGGTGGGGGAAGGGAGGGAAGTGGTTGAGAAAAACCAAGGAAGGCAAGAAGCTGGGGTGCAGCTCTGCCAGGTACTGGGAACCATCCTCCCCAAGAGCCACCCTCTTAAGCCTCCAGCGCTGGGTCACCTGCAGGAAGCTGTAATCCCTGGACTCTTAGGAAGTGGGCTTGGGGGGTGCTTCCTAGCCTTCCCACTTTCCCCCACTGCACCTCCACTTCCTAGACACCCTTGCTGGCCTGCTTTCCCTCTATGCGTCTTTGGCTGCACAGGTGGATAGCAATGATACCCCATCTTCTCCAAGATTTGCAGGACTAGAGCATAACTACCCACCTCATCAGAGATGTATTGATTACAGAAAGATTGGAAGTTGAAATGTGCAGGAGTGTAATTGTCACTTTTTTTTTTGAGAGAGGAGATAACAAAGGTGACTTGAGAGAGGAGATAACAAAGGTGACTTTATCCTAAGTCAGTCCTTTCTTTGAGCACATACAAGTCTCCCTTCTGATCTACCACCCCTAGCCATTAGTGTTTGATGTATTAAAGTTTTTTTTGTTTTTGGCCTGGTTCTGGGGCTTGAACTCAGGGCCTAGGCTCTGTACCTGAGCTTCTTTTGCTCAAGGCTAGTGCCTCTACCACCTGAGCCACAAATCCACTTCTGGCTTTTTCTGAGTTGTTTATTAGAGATGAAAGTCTCACAGACTTTCCTGTCCAGGCTGGCTATGAATGGCAATCCTCAGCCTCCGGAGTAGCTAGGATTACAGGGATGAGCCACCAGCACCTGGAAAAGATCTCTCTTTATCTTGTAGTTAACAATTCATTTGCAGCTCAAGTTCGCCGCCTCCCCACACAAATTATTTTTATAAGAATAACCATAGCTGATATTCATTGAAGGCTCTCTGTGTACCAGGCATGTTCTAAGTGTGTGTGTGTGTGTGTGTGTGTGTATATATATATATATATATATATATATAATTTTATATAATTTTTACAACCCTGTGAGGTAGATACTAACAGCATTTTCATCTGGCAGATGAGGACATTGAGATCCGCAATGATCATGGAGATCATGTCCATGGCCTCCAGCTAATGGGATTTCAGCTAGTATTGCTTCAGCCTCCCTCCCCCACTGTTAATTGCTGGAAATAGGACAAGAAGTTGGCCTTAATGAAGTAGTAAAAGGGCAAAGCTTATTTGTTCTGTAGTCAGGGCCTAGTCCTGTAGAGTTTTCAATCAATTTTCAAAACAACTCCTGTTATATCCTGTGGAGAAAGTCAAACCAAGTGAGCCGTAACAGGCCTGCAGATCGTATTAGTTGGTGCTCAATAATAATACTTGCTGGTAGCTGTTATTGATTGAGGTTTTGTTTTGTACCAGTATTTTTCATGTTTAATCTTCGTAGGTACTCTTAAGTAGAAACTATCATGAGTTTGTTATGTAAATGAGGCAACTAAGACTTAAATAACTTGCCACAATGTTGGGATTCCAGACCAGTTCCAGGAACTCCACAGCCTGGCTTGAAAGAACTCTTGAGGAGCTTTGTGCACAAGGCACAGATTTGTCTTCAGAACAAACTCCCAACTGCTTAGAGCTCTGTACTATCCTCCATTCCCCAGCTCCCTATCACACAAGAACAGAATTGTACAAGTTGATGGAGAATGGGCTTCATGGATTTGGTTTTTTTGTACTAAGTGCTATGCCTGCAACATCAATGAGCTGTTCTGCTTTGTAAGTTTTATTAATTAGACAAGTGTCTGGTCTGCTGGCTTTGAGTTGTTAATCCAATATTATGGCTCTGAGTACCTCTGTTAGGATTTATTTTCTAGAAAGTTTTTAGAACCTTATTTGCAAGGCTGGTACCTCCTAGTGAGGGAGAGGGGATTGTTTTGGTTTGGTTTTTTTTTTTTTTTTTTGTGGTTGTGGGGCTGGAACTTTGGGCTCTTTAGCTCAAGGCTAGCACTCTACCACTTGAGCCACTTTTGGTTTTCTAGTGGTTAATTGGATATAAGTGTCTCATAGACTTTCCTGCCTGGGCTGGCTTTGAACCGTGATCTTCAGATCTCAGCCTCCTGAGTAGCTAGGATTGCAGGTATGAGCCACCAGCCCATACATGAGTAATATTATTGCTGTGACCCCCGCCCCTCCCTGAGCATGGTCCCTGTGAACTGAATCCTGTATGTGACCAAGTCCCTTAGGGTGATCCCTATGACATACCTGGTGCTGCAATTGGGTTATTTTGAATTTCTTACCCTTGCCCTTGCCCTATTCATAGAGATTGCTTCATGAAGACTCTTCAGTATGGACATCACAGGGTATGTGGTCACCATTAATATGGGCTGGATCTCAGTGAATCAGCTGGTCTACCCTTCCTGCTCCTTATGTGATGGGGATGTCCCTGTACAGCTTTGGGGTGGTGTATAAGACATGTGACTATCAATCCCAGTGCTGGGCTGTGCCCCTCATTATCTACATGGTCTCTTCAGAGTTCACTATATCATTTCATAAGGCCACACAAAAGGAGTCAGTGGGGAATAGAGCTCAAATTAAAGTCTTGCCTGAACTTATTCTGTGATTTCTTCTAACTGCAATGACTTGGCTACCAAGAGGTTTCCCTCTTTACCAAGTCTTCCTGTTCATTTGTTCCCACATCTGACATTCTTTTTTTGGAATGTCCTTCTCACCTTCACTACTTGTCTGGAGTTGGGCGGGGGGAGGATCTGCTGGGAGCCATAGTGAGGTAGAGGCAAACCTTCCTCTGTGCTTCCATAGCATCTTTTGCTACCCCCTATAGAAGAGATGACACATGGCTCTGTGTTTGTTTCCACACCTACCCCTGCCCCCACCATAGATTACAACTTTCCTGCAGGGAGAGTCTAGGCACATAGTAGATGTCGAGTAGATTTTTGATACAGATATTAGTTAAATGAATGAGTGCTATCTAAAAGCTAGGAGAGGGAGTCCCTGACTCACTGTAAGGGACTCTGCCATCCTTCTTGTAAGGGGAAAGGGGGGAGAGTTCGCATTATTCCACTGTAGATTTTATTCTTTTCTTTTTGCCAGTCCTGGGGCTTGGACTCAAGGCCTATGCATTGTCTCTGAGCTTCTTTTGCTCAAGGCTAGCACTCTACCACTTGAGCCACAGCGTCACTTCTGGCTTTTTCTGTTTATGTGGTACTGAAGAATCAAATCCAGGGCTTCATGCATGCTAGGCAAGCATTTTACCACTAAGCCACATTCCCAGACCTGCTGTGGATTTTAATAACAGAAAATAGACAGTATTGCCAAAACCTAAATGCTTGTCAAAGAGCTTCTTGCTTAATAGAATGTTTCTGGGTAATTAAGGGTTAGCATGCCTTCAAAAATAAAATCATGTTTTCCTTACCCTTTTGAGTTTTTTTTTCTAAAATGCCTGGGTTTTCTTTTCTACCTTAGTGAGTTGAGTCTGGGATCCATCATTGAGTGTCTGTGGCTGAGTAGAGAGACTGGGGGTTCTCAGGATTCTTTAGGATTCTCTTTGCCCCACACCTTTTTATAGAATGGGATGCAATCTCCTACTACCATACCCAACCTCTATGTGTCCTTGCTCCAGGCAGAGGCAAACCCATGGGTCCTGTGAGGCTGGTCGTTTCATTGTCATCTCCAGGAAACAGATGAGTGTTACCAACCAACAACACCGGGAAAGTATGATATGTTACTGTGCTACCTCAAATTTTGTGGGTGTCCTTGCCTTTGTCCTTTTTTCTTTTTTTTTTTTTTTTTGGGTTCAGTCGTGGGGCCTGAACTCTGGGCCTGGGCGCTGTCCCTCAGCTCTTCAGCTCAAGGCTAGCGCTCTACCACTTGAGCCACAGCGCCACTTCTGGCTTTTTTCTTTTTGCTTATGTGGTGCTGAGGAATCGAACCCAGGGCCTCAGGCATGCAAGGCAAGCGCTCTACCACTGAGCCACCTTCCCAGCCCGTTTTTTTCTTATGTGAAGGGTTCACAAATCTCACTACTCCTTTACTGACCCCAGTTTAGGAAAGACCTTATACTTTCTTTGTCTCAGCAGGAAGATATATTTCGGCAGAATAAAAGGTGTCTCATTGTCCTGAGCCGGCAGTTGGCATCTCTGAACTCCTCCAAATCTTTGTTCACATACTCTCCTTTGTCTAGTGGCTTCTTGACCTAATTTCTGCCTTGTTCTTGGGCTGTACTGATTGGACAGATTAGAAATTGTGCACAGGAAGGAGCTGAGGCTGCTCCCTCACAGGAGGTCAGCCTGGCACCTGCTGGGCATAAGGCATGGGCTGCAGATGCCACCTCCATCATCATAGGCATCTAGGCAAGGCATCAGGATAAATGTGCCCTTTTCTGTCCCTTTCTGATTAGACTGGTGAGCATCTTTCCTCACAAAGTTCCTCAAGAAGCACTTGGAAGAGGGCTTTGTGCCCTAGCAATGGTAGAGATGAGAGACAGTGAGGGAAAGGCCTATTATCTGCCTACCCTGGCTCAGCTACAGCTTCTTGCTTCCCAGCTAAGCTTTACCTTCCTTAAGCTGTTGTCTTTATGCCTCTTACTATATTTTTCCTGTTCCCTTTGGTGTCTGGGTCTGTTCTCAGTGTCCTGGCTCTCTACCAGCCCAAGTCTGGACCTTCCTGAAGT